AGACAAGTGTCTCCTTTATTAATGTTGGGATGTCTAATCCATAAAGGTCTTGACCTGCAAAATGTAGTGTACGATATTTTAACGTTAGTACTATCCGCAAAATCTTTATGCAGCTTCTTTAACGATGTATTTAAATAGCGAATTTGTTTTTTTTTCTGCCATTGTATGTTTTGGTGTTTATTTTGGCGGAAGCTAATTTGTAATTTTCATACCTTTCTAAAAATCTCTCTATTTCTTTTGTATAAATTGTTGAGTTATTATTTTTATATTTTACTCTTCCACGTAAACAGGCAGTGCCTTACTTGGGAGGACCCCCACTACTTTTTAAACCACGCCCATATTTAAAACTCGCATGTGCTGTCATATGTCATCTGTCATATGTCAGCTGTCAGCTGTAATATACCATATGTCATCTGTCAGCTCTCATATGTCATCTATCAGCTGTCATATACCATATGTCATCTGTCAGCTGTCATATATCATATGTCAGATGTCAGATGTCATCTGTCATATATCATATGTCAGATGTCAATATGTCAGATGTCAATATGTCAATTGTCAATCCAGTGTCGCCAACTGCCAATCCAGTGTCGCCAACTGCCAATCGAGTGTTGGCAACTGTCAATCAAGTGTTGCCAACTGTCAATCTGGCAATCCAGTGTTGCTAACAACCAATATGTCAATCTCTCAAATGTCAATCTCTCAAATGTCAATCTGTCAAATGTCAATCTGTCAAATGTTAATATGTCAAATGTCAATCTGTCAAATGCCAATCTGTCAAATGTCAATCTGTCAAATGTCAATCTGTCAATCTGTCAAATGTCAATCTGTCAAATGTCAATCTGTCAATCTGTCAAATGTAAATCTGTCAAATGTCAATCTGTCAAATGTCAATCTGTCAAATGTCAACCTGTCAAATGTCAATCTGTCAAATGTCAATCTGTCAAATGTCAATCTGTCAGATGTCAATCTGTCAAATGTGAATCTGTCATTTCAGTGTTGCCACCTGTCAGCGGTCAATACAGTGAGTCATTTGTCAATTTTCATGTTAAATTAGTGCTGCCAACTGGCAACAGTGTTTCCAACTGCCAGTAGTCGCCACGAGATGACGGCACCTGTTAATCGGTGACTGGGGGAAGTAGAAACTATGTTTACGTAAAAGTAAAAGTAACATGATTCCAAAAGATGACGCTACCTGTCAAAAAACCTGTCAACAGGATAAAGGTTTGCGACTTGACTAAGTCATCAGCTAAGCAAGACAGTTGTCAAAAATTATTCTAACCTATGGCATCTGTCAACAGTGTTGCCAACCTAACCTACGCAGGATAGCTACAAAGTTGGAAATTAAAAAAAAGTTACGAACTAAATAGAAGGCGGTTTTCCTCGCTGACGTAAGAAATGAAACATGTGTTACCATATTAGAAATGGAACGAACTACAGTGACGCATGTGACATAAAAAACGTGTGACCTTGCACCGTACTGGTATGCGGATTTCTACATCGAGAAATCCCCAATGGGACTCGCTGACGCAAGAAATGATATATAGTACGTGTGACTACATATATATGGAATGTTAAGATCATGCTCAGTGACAGGTCAAAAGGGCCTAAAACTAATATCTTTGTTATTGTTAGTCCGATTCAAATGGGAAAAACGGAATTATGTAGATAACTCGAAAACGTCGAACAGAAAAATCATGCGTAGAATGAAAAGCCAGAAGGGCCTTAGCGTGTTTCTCGGATATTACTAGTCCGATTCAAACGGGACAAACAAATATTTTAAAACAGTTGGTTAAGCAATAAAAATAAAAATGAATGTATAAATCAATTTAAAATTTAAAATATTAATAATAGTAATAATTATGATTTAGCAAGTTGTGAATCTCCAGAAAAAATTATATTTTGGAGTAAAGATGACTAAGAACTTGGTGGATATGCCGGTTTGTGGACAAAAAGCACTGATAATGGCACCATGCCGAAAGCGCTTTGCATTTAATAATTAAAAAAAAAATTTGCACGAAATACAAGTCTTTCCTTTTTAATCTAAACTACGTGCACACAGCCGTCAACCTTTCTTGGTTATTTTAATTTACGTTTTAAATTTTTTTTAAACTCTCAACATTTTTTTAAAACACAACACACACGTGTGTATGTGACTATATTAACAGCTAAACTGACATAGCGATACCTCTCGTCGTTGACTGTAAGTGGGGCTTTCAGATCGATTTTACCGACCAGGAGAGATAGGAAAAAAACTGGTGACACAAGTTAAAGCCGTGTAGAAAGTAGAAAAGTTGCGTTTTATTTCTTTTTATTTTTATAAAGAAAACAACAGTACCTATGTTATTAAAAGAACATACAAAATATGTTTCAATATACAGGGTGAGGCACCGAAAACGAAACAGATGGCATATCTTGAAGACTCATTTATTTTGGAGAAAATGCAAAAAGGGGTCGATTTTTATTTCAAAGGGGACATCTTTCGATCATATCCTCAACTATCCTGCATCCCTCCCCACCCCTCTGTCAATATTATCAATGAAGTTGAAATGGGGAAAGTACTAAGTGCGACACATCATTGAAAAGGTAATTTTATAAGGAATTTGACTGTGTGACAGTTTATTACGTAACTTTTGATTTTGGCTTCATCTTGCGGGAAAAGTTTCCGTATTTTAAATAATGATGCTTCATTTGAAAGTAAAACTCATTTATTAGACAATTCATGATAAAAATAAAAAAAATAATAGAAAAGTGAACATAAAAATTAAATTAAAAAATTTAGGACAACTCCCATAATTAAAAACTAAATTACTTCACAGTAAATGCACAAAGTGTTGTCCATTAACTTCTATACACGAATATAAATTATTCTCAAATCTTTGTCTGACGTTTTGGAGCATTTCTGGAGTTATTTGACGACATTCGGTAATAATACGTTCACGTAACTCTTCTAAGGAACCTGGCTAAGTGGCGTATATTTTACTTTTCAGATATCCCCATAAAAAGTAATCTAAGGGGGACAGATCAGGAGATCGAGGGGGCCATTCAATAATTCCTTCTCGTCCAATCCAATGTCTAGGAAAGTTTTCATTTAAGTACTGACCAACCGCTGCAGCAAAATGTGGAGGAGTCCCGTCCTGTTGAAATGTTAGGTGATCTTCAAGGTATCGGTTATCGTTTTCTATTATGTCTATTAACAGTGGATCAACGGTGTTTTCGAGTAATTCCAAATACATATTCCCAGTTAAAGTACCTGGCAAAAACAATGGACTAACAATACGATCGCCAAATATTCCAGCCCAAACGTTTAACTTTTCTAAGTGTTGAGTATGCGTTTTATGAAATACTCTTGGATTGGAATCTGACCAGTATCGACAATTACGTCGATTGACAGTCCTGTTAACATAAAAACTGCATTCGTCTGAAAAACAAATGTTATAAAGAAAATGTGGATCTTGTATAGCATGCTCGCTCATGATTTCACAAAATTGCAAGCGGCGATCAAAATCGTCTTCGTTAAGTTCCTGAACTAAATTAATTTTATAGGGATGGAGTTTGTTGATTTTCAAAATTCTCCTGACGGTACGCTCACTAATTCCAGATAATTCTGCAAGCTTTCTTGTACTAAGAGTTGGATCTACAACAACTTGTCCTAAAACGGCCACCTCTACGGCTTCGTTTCTTACTGGATTTTGAGTCTGCCGTTTTTTATTTTGAACAGATCCTATTTGAAATAAGTTCCAAAACGTACTTACGTTTAACCTGTTTGTTTGGGTGTCGCTCATTGAAAATTATACAGGCAGTGTTAGCACATTCGTTATTTTTTAAATAACATTCAACAATTTCTACTCTCTCCTGAATAGAATAAACCTTTTTTATGTTTTACTCGCTAATAGACTTGAAGTATTAATGACGCTAAACTAAAAAACAGATTTGGTAGTCATGGAAATAAAAACCATTATTTTTATTTTACGAAAACATAGGCGTAGTAAGTTCAATTTTATTCCAAAGATAATTATGTATTACATTTTTAAATTTGGCTTTCACATGACAATACGCTTATTTGAACTATCACATGTCACACAGTTAAATTCCTTATAAAATTACCTTTAAAATGATGTATCACACTTAGTACTTTCCCTATTTCTATTTCATTGGTAATAGTGACAGAGGGGTGGGCAGGGATGTAGGATAGATGAGAATATGGTCGAAAGATGTTCTCTTTGAAATAAAAACCTCTTTTTGCATTTTTTCCAAAAAAAATGTGTGTTCAAGATATACTATCTGTTTCGTTTTCGGTGCCTCACTCTATATACTTAGCTAGGTAGAATTTTTTAAAAGAATAAACTCGTATTTTTTTTGACAGGTTAGTTTTATTTTTTTAATAATATTACGGACTTTATACCTAAGCTCCTAAAAAAAAAAAATAAATTTAAAAAATGAAATTAACCGAGTAAGTAGGTAGTTGCATATAAAGTGGCAATTCTTTGATATTCACCCATATTACAAAAAGGATATAATGAATATGATGACAACTATATAAATTATAACCGATAGACAATGGTGTGTATCAAAAGAAGTTTATTTAGCACTCACTGTAATCCACGTACCTCAGCAATGATACACCACTGTAGTAATATCTTTTATTAATAACAAAATTCAGTCAACTCGATTTGTCGACAGTAGCGTCACGTAATACAGAAATTATATTTTCAAAATAAACTTCTTTAACCATCCAACTCTCTTAATGTACTCTGTAACGACTTTTCAACGACCGGTAATAGAAAAAAAAGTGTCCGTCAACGAAAACACTAGAAATATAAAACAAAGATAGTCTGAAAAAGTATACGTGCTATTTGCCTTCAGCACTTTTCAAGTCTTTTTATCTGCGAACAAAATACAATTACATTAAGTACTCACTACTGCCTTATATAAAATCCTCTTCGTTTTGCGCCTCCCGGGGGATTTCGGCCTTATTAAATTTAGTGTTTCTGCTTCAGGTGAGCGCTTGGGTGACCCAACTGATAATCACCCAGCCCACGCACGATGCGCGCCGAGCTGTCTTGTCCTGCGTCCTTAGAGTCGCCCTCTCGTCATGGAATATTGGAAATTTCAATGGAGCTATGGAAATTATCGCAGGCCTCAAGTAAGTTGATTTTATTAATAAAAAAATGTTCTATACTGAATAAGCAGACCAATAACTCATAAATAATTAAAATAAAAAGTAATAAGTCTTTATTATACTAAATTTTCGTACCTGTTTGGGAAAGCTTGAGAAAGCTAGATTTAGAAAAGTGTGCCTTTTTACTTAACCTTTTTATTTAATTCATAAAGAATATTTAAAAAGTTAAAGGTAGACATTTTAAAATTTAAAATAAATAAAAATTCAAACTAATAGTCCGGGAGGTGATGACAGATTTCAATAAACCATTTTCGCAAGCTTAATTTTTTGAATATGAGTTATTTAAATTGCATCTAACAGTAAAATCATCGTCTTCCATTCCAGTTGTATGACAGGGGGTTGCGAGAGGGTTGCAATTCCAGTAAAAAATTTATAAAAAAAAATTATTTTCGCATTAATGAAACTTGGTGTACACGTTGATATGGACATAAAACTCAAAAAAGAGGACATTTGCCGTAAAAAGGACATTTTAAGATTTAAAAATTCACAAGGACTGTGAAGTACCTGACCATACCAAATAGGTACCCAGTATTTAAATTACATAATAAAATGGATAATTATCAACATTATTGTCCCGTGAATAAAAACTTGTCACTTATATCGGAAAATGATGTAGTATACTGATATATTTGGTAGGTAATTATAAATTAATTAGATTATCCTGTACTTATATTTCAAAATCTTATGGTTACATGTATGCATAATTTAACTTACTCAGAAGTCTCTAAAGAAATACAAGGTCTTGTTTTAATAATTTTAAAATATAATTATTTTTGGTGGTTGGTTGCATGGCTCACCCTGTATAAAAAGTACAAATAGCGAAATCTTTTAACCTCAAATTTGTTAACGGGTTAATATTAAGATAATGAAATATTTTATCTGAGACGCAACTGTAGAATTATTGAGCGTTTGCGACAATATATTGTGATTTATTCGTGAATCACCCTGTAACAGTATATATTTTAAAATGTTCTTTTTTATTAACATCTGACCAAAAATTATATTAAACTTTTATATACATTAAGTCAATCTATCTTTTCAGTTTGAAGAAAAAATAACTAAAATCAGCAATTCTCCACTTTAACGCCCTGTATCTCGAAATTTAGTCATAGTATCGGATTTAAAATGCATACTTCCTAAAAAGACATTAAAATTATTATATATTAAGAAAACGGTTACATTTGACAGGGGAAATTTTAGAATACAGGGGGTTCGTGGTTTTTGTACTTTTCATAATATAGAATATCTTCTAACAAATAAATCACCTTGTTTATTTTGAAGCTTAAAGGTAGATATATTTAAGTGATATTACCTTTTCCAAAATTCAACTCATAAGTACAGGGTTTTGAATTAATCGTTAAAAAATAATTTTATGTTGTGGTTCTCTCTATAAAACACCCTGTATAAGAAATATGTACTGTGCAATATTTTGTCGTCAAAATACCATAATGAGTAGTATTTTTGAAAATATGCTTCTCTGACCACACAGTAGAATTAGTGTGATTTTACAAAAAAATACCGTCATACATTCGTGAATCACCCTTTAATTATATATATTTTTAATTATACGTATGTACTAATGTAGTACTAAAACTCATAGTAAACGTGTGTATGCATCAGAAATTCAATCTAGCTCGTAAGTTTGCAAATAAAAATTCCCAAAAGTAGGCAATTTTCAACTTCGAGTTTTCGAAAACTAGTCATACTTTTGGTTACTAGGTTGACTATAAAAACATAGCAGAGTTTCAGAAAATTTGTAGAGTCGCCACTTTGCATAAGAAAAGTGCGGGATCCTTTGTTTAAAATGTTAATTATTTAAATTAAACAATATTACATTAAATTAAATTGGCATGTTTGGTAAATTTGTTACAAGAAACAGCTCTAAAATAACAATAAAATTAATAGTAAAATAAATAAATAACAATATTTATTTTAATTATACTTATTGGTGTCCATTTTAGAAAAATTCGCTGTTTTTGCCTTTATCACCCTGTATATCGTAATATAGCTATAGGATTATATTATTCCTATGAATACTCTTGCATAATCACTTCAAGCACTGTAACATAAAAATTCAAATAATTTGACGATGCTTTCGTTTGCTTAAGAAAAATGCGTGGTCCTTTTTTGCAGCAATAGAAAATCAAATCTATATAATTTCTCAGATATAATTTTTAAGTATAACTTTATTGGAAAATCCCTTTATAAATTCTTTTTAACAGGGTAACTGTCGACACAGATTGCGAAATCCAGAAAAGCAAATAAGATATCCGAATTGCCCTATTCATATTTTAGAATGAATCTAAAATCAATAGAACACTCGAATTCTGCGAGGGCGATAAAGTCGTCTTATCAGTTGAACCGGGTCCCGCGTTAAAACGTTAAATAAAACTTGGATTTTCTCAAGTATAGATTATTTATGTGCAAATATAAAATTTTAAATTTATGAAGGGATAAAATGTATATAATGTTTATTGTTTCTATATTTTTTTTCTCATAATCAGGCGGTATATAAAAAATAAATATCTATAAACGTTTATTATTTCATATAAATAAAAATTTCCTTGGTTTATTCGGTCCTTTTTTTATTTTCAACTGTTTAGCACAGCACTACATATGTTTCGGAAAACTTTTCCATCTTCGGGTGCAGTCATAAATTAATAAAACATGGGGACGATAACAAATTAAAAAGTTTTTAAAATATAAGAAACCCCATCTTTCTGTTTCATCGTGTGAAGGTGTATTCGAAAAATTATCTCTCAAGCCCAATGAGTTTGAATACTACGGAAATAGCGAAACCACTTCCCATCCCCCTTAGAACTTAACCATGGCCTTAATTAAAAGATATGGCTGCTAAGTCGAATTGTAAGTTAGACATGGGCCATATGGGTTGCAGTGGAAAGCGATGAAATTATTCAATTTATTTTTAACCTAACCTGATCTAAGTGTTCTTAATATTCCAAGCACAAGAGTCAGAAATGCATTTAAGCAAGAATTTAGTTAGCAAAGGGTTAACAATTACGCATTCGCAACAAATAAATCAGAATAATTTCGGATCAATCATGGATGTCTTGAAATATATTTTAGCTATATAATTAATTTAGAATCACGCGAATTTGATTCGACCTGCTTAGAGGTCTTTCTAAGCCGCGCCTATTAATGTCATTTGAAATAACGTTAAAAACAATTTTTTCATGACATCAAAGTTCTATTCTTTGTATCTTCTTAATAATTTCTCAACTAAAATTATCGTTAAGCCTTCACAATTATTCCTTTTTTCACCCATCTTCACACATCGATTTTCGGTTTTCTTTCTGTTTGTAAGTATCAGTAAGAACATATTCATGCAAGGAGAATCCAGTTCCGTTATTTACAGGCTAATGCTGGCACAAAACCCAATAAGCCAACTACATAGCGCTGACCAAACGAGGCTATAACAGCAATTAAAACAGGATAAGATTCTAAGAATGCCTACTGATATAGCCATAACCACATAAAAATTAAAAAAAAAAATTAAATACAAATACCAGCCTGTGAATCTTTCAAACGGTTCCTACCATACAGGTTGAACTCGTTTGGTATATACAGTAAGAAAAGGAAGAACCGTTGCTGGAATCTTTGGACTCGAGTCAAAAACAATGATTTATCTGAGTCTATGAGAATATGCAACAATGTTCCAGGCTGAAGTAATAACCATACAACACTTTACAAGAGAAATAATAAATCAGCAAGTACTCGTATCAGGCAAAACTATTACCATGTACTCTAATAGCCAACCAGCTCTAAAAGCAATTCTCTCACCAGAAATCAAATCAGTAATGACGAAAGACTGCCCAAAATACCTGGCAGAGCTAAGTAATCAAAACAAGGTGTCAGGCCACGAGGGATATCAGAACAATAAAAATCCCGACGAATTAGCCTGAGAATATTCAGAGAAAGCCATTAGAGGTTCCGAACCCTTCTGTGGAGTTGTTAAGGCCTTGTGCAAGACATCCATCAAGCAAAGGAAGCAAAAACAGTCTTACGAATGGTGAAAAAATTATCCAAGTTTGAGACAGGCCAAACAGTTCATCAAGAAACCATCGGCCAAGTTCACAAAAGGCCTATTGGACCAAAAACGTAAAATCATTAGGATAACAGTAGGTCTTCTTACCGGACACTGTCGCCTAATAGAGCACATATGTGTCATCAGTTCAACAGAAGAAGCAACATTGTGCAGGTTCTATGAAGAAGAAGGGGAAAATATCAATCAAAGTCATGGCCAGTGTGAAGGCCTGGCTAGATTAAGGTTTCTAACATTAGGCAAAGAAAAGCCAGACGCATAAGTCTAATAAAAAAGGCCCAGGCTAGACGACGATAGATGTCCAACTCGTTTCAAATCTAACTTTATCTATTAGTAAGAATTAATCGTCTGAGCTAGACTTGCCAAGTCTTGAGAATGTGCAAAATTCACCATGTGGAAAAAAACGGTTTTATTGACTAGTGAGTGGCGAAAAGGAAAAGATAAAGAGGCAAGGTAGGATATCTGGACAAAGTTAAGAAAAAATCTCTAAACTCCAGTACATTATTGGAATTATCTGGAACTTTAAATCAATTATACCCAAATTTCGATTTTTAGTTTAAGGACGCACATATCCAAGCATCCTAGTAAAGTACTGCCGATATGCATTTGCTTTAAAACACGATTTTAATCAATCACAAATTCAAAAAATTTTCAGAAGTCAAACCGAAACCAAAGAGCAAATTAAACTTAAATAAAAATCTGAAGAAAACGAAGTCAAAGTTTACGGGCTTAAAATCAAGCTAAAAAAGAAATAATCGATAATAGGTGTCGCTAACTTGGAACTACCTTATGTACATAACTTTCTTAAGAAGGGAATAGCGGAACTATGTTACGTGAATGCTGCTGGACCCAACGAATGATAAAAATGCTGTTTAGCTCACAATCGTGACGAAGTCCTCAA